GCCAGGACATGGGAAGAGACACTGGCCACTTTGTCCCAGTATGGTCCAAGGCAGGTTTCCTGCAGCAGCCCACTAAGAGGAATAGTTATCAGGGATGGTTACATCAGCTGGAGACATCTGAAGCACCTTATTGACAGAAACTGCAGAAGGAAGCAGATGAACTTCACCTTCAATTCCGATTTAATGGTTTTGCTTACAAATATTTTATGGGGAAATATGGTGTCAGAGCGTTGCAGGATTTGATCTGGTGCATGAAGAGCAGTCCTCTATAAAAAAGGAGCAGTAGAGGAACAGGGGAAGGGGTCAGCTTGCAATAGGCTTATGCTAAAACAAAGTAACTTAAGTATCCAAGTGGAACTTCATTCAGTAAGCAAAGTTCTCATTTGATTGTTTTCAGGTCTTATTTAAGAAGGGACTATGGGACATGGCTTTCAGAAAGAGAAGAGGCAAGAGTGGTGGGTAAATAAGAGAGAAAATTATAAAAATAGAGAAAGAAACAGGATAATTGCTTTTCCAGTCTATATCCAATTTTAGACAGAAAATTCTTTGAAACAGATAAAAATTCAAGAAAACGTCCATGTGCTGGACTGGGTTTGACGTCAGTGCATGATGACACTCCCTTGGCAGTGGATGCTCTGCTCTACAGTATCCCTTGTCTGCTCAGAGAAAAACATTCCCTTAGGAATGACTCTGTCCCAGATGACATATGAATTTCAGTGGAAAAGCTCACAAAGATCTATTAACTCATTTTGCACTGACAAAGTGGGAAAATGGGACTTTCTCCTTGGGAATAAAGAGCTGTCACATCTGCATCAAAACAAGGAAATCCAAAAAGACTGAATCTGAAAGCACAGCTGACAAAGAGCAGTTCCTCTCTACACACACCTCAGGAGATTTCTGCTAGCGTGCATGGACCAATACCTGATTCAACAAAAACACTGCCATTAAATGCATCAACTTATTCTCCAGCAGCACCACAGATAGTACTTCTCAACAATCCTCAATCCATATCTGTATTAGCCAAGACATTCTTAACTATCTTGCCCTCTCTCATCAGCATCTACATACACGCTGTCCTTCCTTACCTGTCTGCTCCAAAATAACATGATCAGTTTCAGTAAAGAGGCTTGAATACAAGAAAAAAATTAATGACAACATGAGCTTATATAACAAATGGTTTCTCTGATCAACCTTTTTTACATTTTTTGTTATTATTTGAAAACATGTAGAGGTATTTGGGGAGCTTCTTTTATTTTTCTAGAAAAAGCTATGTACACACATAATAAGTCAGGAGATTGGTTGAAAGCAAGAACATTTATTATCACTTGCTTGTTGCTTTTTTATTTGCAAATGATTAAATGGCTTTATCTTGGAGGAAAAATAATGCTGAACCAATAACTGAAAAGCAAAGTGCACAAGTGTCCTTGGGTTCGTGCATGCTTGCATTAGCAACTCAATAGATGATGCAGAGAAACCACAATCTGTTTCTGAACAATTCTCAAGAAAAAAAAAAAAAAGAATCCTAATTTCACAGAGTAACGGTTTTCAGTGAATGATTCCACCATTTGCTACCAGCTGGGCCCCACCCCTTCTCTTCACATAGAGTATCTCCTTTTTCAGGTGTGATCAATGAATACCAGCATCAATTTGACAGGCTATAAGGCACACTACACGTGCTGCCCACCTGAGCAGGCATCTTCTGACACTGGCTGCTAAGGAAGGGAAAGCACACAGGCAGACAGCAAAAGTCCTCCTTCATGGGGAAGGAAAGGTTGGAAGAACAGCTGTGTAAGCAATGTGCTATGCTATCCTAGGATGTATGTATGGGAATCAATGACAACATCACCAGAATCCATTCATCATACTCTACGTGTATCAACCAAAGCTACAAGTTGAAATAAACCTTTCTAAATTGTATTTCTGGTAGTTGACACACTTCCAAAAACAGTTTATGTGTATTGCCAACATTCCACCTTAGTGTACTGTTTCAGAAAATCCCATTCCCTGCTCTCCTCTGCAGAAACTCCCATACAAACCAGTATCATCAACAAAGTGTCCTCCTCCATGAGACACAGCAACAGTCGAGTTGTACTAAAGCACTGCAAAGCAACGATTCAAAAAAAATTCATCAAGCCTTGAAAAATCATTCTGGTTTCTTTAACAACTCACATGAAATTTTATTCTAATAAAACCTCTCCTGAAAGAAAATATTTAATGTGGAACACAATGGTAAAATTAATTGCCCAGGAAAAAGCAAATCAACTGCACAAACTGGTCTTTGTCTACCATGCCTGCTGATAAAGGCCAAGCAGGAGGAAACAGACAGTTAATTGTTTTTCAGATAATTGTGGCAGGTTTGTGCACATTTGTGCCTCCATTTGCATGGACTTTCAGCCCAGTCAATGCCCCATTAAACACACAGGCAGAGTTTATATTTTCCTTAGAAAAAAAAAATAATAAAAAAAGGTATGTTCAATTGGCAATTTCCCTTATAGGGGGAAAAATACAACATATTAGTGTTGCTTTTATCAGAGATTATTTTCTGAGCAGACGTTTTAAAGAATGTGAAATACATGGTGGTTTTGGAGGTGGTGAGGAAGAGTTTGCCCAGCACTCACACTACCTGTGCTGTGGAGCCCAGTGAGTGAGGCAGACCTACAATCACAGCTTCTCCCTCTGGAATTTAGGGCCATATTTTTTCAGTTCTACTGTAAAAGGAATTACAAAGTTCAGCCCATTCAAACAAGAGAGAGCCCAACTTCAACAGCTTTTATTTTAAGCATTTGAAACTGCTCTGAGAACTATTCACCCAAAAATTACTTTCAAGTCAGAAGACGTTTCTAGGAAATCAAAGACCTGCCCCAAGCACTTGTGGATCTAGTTCCTTGGTGTCATGTTTATCAGCCACTTAAAGGGTTGAACTGTAGTATATTTGGAATAAAATAAAGGCTAAAATATTTTATATTGCTTTCCAGTAACATCTCCTTGTGCTCCCATTTGCACAAAAAAAAAAGGTATTATTAAAAAGGAATACACCTTGGATTATACTAAGTCATTACAAACATCAGAGCAAGGAAGGGCTCTTTCTCAGCACTAAAACTGCAAACCCCTCCCCACATCGTATTTTCAAACATCAAGATTGATAAGAGACAGTTAATTTTTTTCAACACAGCAAAGGCTAAAGAGATTTCAGTATTCTGTAGCTGGCATTGCCTCACAAGGCAAATATCCAAAGTGTAGAAAAAACAATCATTAAATCTGGCTTTTGCTTGTTCAGAAGCAAATAGTTTTAGCAAAGAGGCAATTCGAGCCAGACAATGTGGATAAAAATAATTTAAAGTATCATGTTTTCATGAACCAGAATTACATTTCATATCAATCCTTACATAGGCTCAGAAGAATTCCCTCCTCTTTCTCAGCCCTCTAATTTTAAACTCTTTGCAATGTCTCCTGACATTCGAGGTACATCTTCCTCCATGAGAGACAAATGTGAGAGCAAATATTATTTCAAACAGTTATACAAGTGTTTTTGTCCACATGCAAAACAGGCCTTTCACCTATCAAAATCAAAAAACTATTTCCAAAGCACAAGGAGGCCTTGAGGTGTCCCATGTGTACCAAGATAAGAGGTGACATTAATTTTGTTATAACCCCATTAAGCAGGCCTGCAAAGGCAGAAAAATCTCTTATTTATGTGGTATTTGCTCTTCCATGCAGACCTGACACCTTGTAACAAGCCTACCCAAAAAAGTCCAATCTAAAAATAGGAGAATCAACTCAATTTTTAAATCTCATTCTGGTATTGTTACAGCTGGGATTTTATTACCACAACTGAATCACCTTCAAGTAATAGAAACCAGTCTGGAAGGGTTATTTCAGAATATTTTTAGTGTTTCTCTTCTAATCTACATCAGTGCCTCCCTCTTCCCCCCTGCCCCAACCTGATTTTCTCCTGAAAAATGAGTTATAACAGCAAAAAAAGAGACAGAAATGAGACAAGCTTTTGGCACATTGAGTAGCTGGTCAGAGCTGTCATCACTCTTTGCAACACTTCAGGGTCTCTGGAAGCAACTCCATACCCCCCAAAGTTATTCACCTTTTTACTCCTTACAAGCACGAGCAGCAGAAATAACCACAGGACACAACATTAATTGTCATTTAGTCCAGTCACCACAGTGTAACATTAGAGATGGAGTTTCCAAAACTAGGCTGCTTGCTACTGGTTGCTGCAGACCATCTACTAAGGATGGGAAGTGACAGGGCAGCCTCATAGCCTGAGAGGCACAATGTGACAGCAACTGCTGCTGCTGGAAGTCACCCACAGCTGTTGCTCAGTCACTCACAGCACTAACATATGTCACAGACAGCTGAGCAGTAGCATTCACCTGGAATGAATTTAGCTCATTGCTCTGTTTTTTTGTGTTCCCGTACCACACCGCCCTCTCCTTCCTCATGCAAAAAATGGGCATTTTAAAACTCTCCTTCCAACTCTGCAATGCCCTCCACAAGAAGGACACTGGCTTGGTTTGGCAGGGACAGGGGCACTCCTTACTGTGCTGCTAAATAGCATTGGGAAAGGGCTGCTTGGCTTTGCCCAGCTCCCATGCTGAGCTCCATGTCTCGTGGCCTTGCCCTCCCCCCGTGGTGGGGAGGCAAGTTAAGGCAGCACGCAAATCTTGCCACTTCTCAAGGACAATGATGAACAGCCACCAGTGCTTGCTGAATTGCTGCTATTTTTATAAACAAGTCCCTTCTCAAGAGCCAACCTGTACTAGCCATAACTGTGTTTAAAAAATGAAACCAACCAACCAAACAAAAAACCCCAAACAATAAAAAGCCCAGTGTGGAGAGCCTGGTGATTAAAGATCAATTTAGCATAGGTTAGGTCATTTGAAGAGCCTAATTCATTTTAACTGAAACATTTGTGTCTGTGTTAGCCAGCAAGCATTGTCTGCAACATTCACATCCATGGGGAAGGCAGAGGTAGCAGTGGTGCCTACCAGGTCGTACGCTGCCAGAACCTTCTTCTGCACATCAGGCACAGTCCCCAGGGGCTCCAGATAAGGAAAGGCATCCTTCATGCAGAGGGCAACGGAGGGCGCGTTGTCGCTGCTCACCAGCCGCGAGGACAGGGTCAGGATGCACTGCTTCAGGCTCGCAATGGGTGGCAGCCCACACAGCTCCTTCACAGACACCATGGCATTCTGTGGGAAGGAAAATGAATGAGCACATCTTGCTGCTTGCCATCCTTCTCCTCCTGCCTGCCAGCACCTGAGTGCCTGCCTGCTTCGCTCCCCTGATGTGGGGCAGGGCTAACCCACTGCTCACTGACTCCAAACCCTCATGAACCCCACTGTCCTGGTGCATGCAGGAATTCCTTGTCAGCCCTGTTCTCGGCTCCCTAAGTCAACTGCCAGCTCCATGTCGCCCCAGACTCAGGTATCCCAGCTGCCAACTCTGCAGCTACTTTGCATTGCAAATCCTGCTCCAACAGGAATAAGCTCTGATCCCCAACATATTATGTCATCAGCTTAAAATGCTATTTCTCTTCCCAACTGTCCAGACACCAATCGCTTTTGATGCCTTGTTCTCCATCCTCCAGCAAGAACAAGTTTGACAGACCTTGGATTTCCCATGGGAAAGGCAAGCAGGAGAAAAATATTTTTTCTTTTCAGCCTTGCATTACCACATCATAAAGAAAAACAAACACTCTTATAAGTCACATGTAAGAAAATCAATACTGGATATACAGGTCAAACCAAACTAACATGCCAAGGTTTATTTATTTATCAAGTCAGTGGAAGTACAGCTGACCTGCCCTCACCATTTAGCTTCTCAAGTCATACAGCAAGTTACCAAGCTGGACAATATCTAAGTAAGACAGCATTACAACAGCTTATACACAGCAAACATCTCCCTACAACATCTTGCTGAAAGAAGTAATCAGAAAATGCCCAGCTAATTAATAGAGGATTTTTTTCATTAACCATATACATTAGCAGGCAGTTAAATCTAATGACTTTCTTGCAAAGCATTCCCCAGAACTTGTACTGAAACTTCATTTGGAAGGTACGTCAATACTCTTTCTGAGTCAGATTCAGACTATTTTCTTCTATATAGTTCACATACCTAAGCCTGCCTAGACAAAAATGGAGTCAGTGGTTCAAACTAGTTACTTTCAAGGCCTGCAGGCCAAGAAAGGCTGGGGAGAGTTTCCCATTCTTAAAAATATGCCTAGACTATTCCTTTGGGAGTGATTTAAAACTTAGGTCATTTTGTAAACTTTTCCAGCTGCCAATGTTTAATTTGCTTTAGACTCAAAGAGCAGGGTCAATGAAGTGTTACGTGTTTTTCTCCTGTTTTCAAGGAAGAAAAATGGATTGTTTCTGTATCTTTACCAAGGAGATAGTTATGACAGCTATCTGTTAAAGAAAACTCGTGTAATGCCACTCGGTTTTGTTTCTAAGCAGCGCCTGGACCCCTGCGTTGAGCTGCCCCTTCCTGAACCTGCAGTCTCCCCCACAGCTGAGGAGAGTCCAGGGCTGGCTGGTTCTCAGTTTGGCCTCACTGCCCCTCCAACCTCCTGCTGACCACAAAGGGGGAACCTGGGCAGTTGTGTCAGTGCTGTGCACCTGGGCCCAGACCCCCCTGACTGTATCCAGCTGCAGCTGCTCTCAGAGCAGCATGGGCAGGCAGAAGTGGTGCCAGGACACTGTCCCAGCCAAGGCAGAGCACCAGTGCCTGTGCAGGCGTGCAGCCAGCAGAGACAACACAGCTATTCAGCAG